TCAAACTCGACTTAAAACACTTCGAGAGGCAAGAAAAAAAATGTGAGTTATATAAACTCGACTGTATGCAGGGCTCTAACAAGAGGGGACTTTTAGGCCTTGAGTACAAGGAATTAGCTATTTTAGGGACCTGTTGAAATTCATTTGTCATTTTTGAAATTTTGATAGGAGTATACTTATAAATTATAATATATTAAGTTATTTTGTTATTTTAAGCAGTGAGTTATCCATTGATCGCCAAGAAATCGTGTGTAAGACACCCGTATCGTTTGTAATAGGTTGTAATTTATTAGAAGTTTAGGACTCACWCATTTAGTGCAGGGCCCAAAATTGTATGTGGGGGGAGGATAAATAGATAAATAATTGATGTTTATTTTAAATATAATATTATGTTGTCATTACTCGTACATATTTATAAAAATGAGACATTGAGTTCAAATTATAGTAGTTGCTCTCTCAGGTCGAACGTTGGATAAATAACAATGTTGCAACTCTAAGTTAGCAATCGAAACGCGCTTGAGAGCGCAGCGTGCAAAATATTCAAGATTGCCGCAGTATTTACAATGTTGTTATTGTGTTATCATAATGATATAACAATTATTTTGTCAAAGAATCGTGCAGCAGAAAATTTACGATCTCCGAGTATACCACAAAATTGATTGTGTTTATGATTTATCCGACAGTTTAAAATAATGATTGTCTTGTATATGAATAATGTTGTAATCGTAAATATATATATAATATTGTCTTCGATAAAATATTATAATATTTAGTAACGGTACGTTCGTCGTAAAGTATCTTCGAATGAGTCATCTGAAAACACCGCCATTTCGAGACGGTATATTATGTATTAAATGTACGTTACACATATTATAATATACAGTTTTTCGCGTGATGGCTTAATATACAATCGTTTAAAGGGAATTATTTCCAACAACATCGCAGCAGTTATAATATAGCAATAATCGGACGGCCTAGTTATAGAATATAGAAATAAATTAAACACGTCTCAATTACGTCAAACGACAAATCATATCGCACCCATATAATTATCTACATTTGTAGTAGCRTMATTATTATTTAATATTATACATATTGTCGCAATCGCGTTTCCCGTTCAGCATATATACAGTGTGAGAAGGAAAAAAATTATATCGGTACCTACAGATAATTATGAGAGATTTTTTTTTTTTTGTTAGCGGCGCTTCTCGTTTTTATAATCGCGCACGCTTTTAACGCACGAGTGAATATTATATAATACAACGTGTATAATAATAATATGTTATTATATTATATTCATTATAATTTATATTTTATACATAATGCTCGCATACGATCAGTCCCTATAAATATATCTCTTTAGTCTGCCGCATCGGTATAGTGTATGTATGTGTGTATAGTGTATGCGTGTGTGTGTGAGTACATTTTTTTCTCTCCGATGTGTAATATAAAAAAATAAAACTAATGCATGGCCGGGAGGCGGTGATCCTGCGACGCACAGTGGGAGGACGGGGTGCTGCGTACACTGTACACACACACACACACACACACACACACACATGTATATTGTGTGTGTGTGTATATATATTATATATATAATAACGTTCCGGAGAGCTTGACAAGCCGGCGAGGCGGTCGTAAAAACTGTAATTTAACTGCTGTTCTGGGCCAAGCGCGTATACGAGTATAGTTAGCTGATAAATTAAAAAAAAATGTGTGTGTGTGTGTAAGAGAGAGAGAGAGAGAGAGAGATAGATAGATAGAGAGTGAGTGCGAGATAGGAAAAATCCAAGGGTCGTAAAAACTAAAAACCGCGGGGAAGAAGAAAGTTTTTATTTTTTCGAGTATATTCAGCCGAGCCGGGAAAATCGGATGGCTTATGCCTTGTACAAGGTATATATTATGCTTGATAATAATATTTTGTACGTTCTTGCCGCGGAACTATATTATTATACATAATATTATATTCATTTATATCACAGCGTGATTATTCGTTTTTTATAATATTAATCTTATGTAGGTTTACCATTGTGAATTCGGTTCGCGAACGACCTCGACTGCGACGGTGGGTGACATTATACGGCGTGATATTTGGACTATAGATTTCAATAGCATCATAAGTACTAATATAATAGTGTACACCGAAGAGTGGATCGTAAAAGTTTTTGTTTTATTTGACGATGAACGAATTTATTTTGAGATGATGTAAAAATAAAAATGCAGTAGGTATCATCTACACATTAATAAATAATTATTGTCGCAAACGATTTTTTATCTGGTATACATATTGATATAATAATTGAAACTGAGTCTCTATAATCAGCTGTATAGATATATATTCTAATATACATGCAGAGATGTTTACGAACCAAAATCCGAGCATATATTATATATGTACGTCATAAATCATAATACTTTAGTAATTTAGTATATAACATAATTATAATATCCAATACGGTATAGTTAATTGGACGCTCCATATGTCTTTAATCGTAATAATTATATTAATCGTTAAAAAAAATCTGACATATCAATTTTTTCTTCACTAATACATATTGAAATTGTTTAAAAGCGACAAAGGTTGATTTTATTTATACTCCTGTATAATATGTGTACAAAAGTATTAAGTATATACGTATTTAAATGTATTATACTATTATAGGTACATTTAAATACACAAAATATATACTATATAGTAGGTACATTATATATTATCACTATAATGATATAGTTATAATAGGCGTAATATAAGTGTTTGGCGTGTTTTCTATAATGATGCATGTATAACGATCGCACAATTGTTCGATTATGTAACTCTACAATATTATTTGTCTACTTATTCTAACAAAATATGAATTAATAAATATGGACGCTGCTAACGATAAAGGTTAACGCGCGAGGTAATAAAATTATACAATATATATTATTATAAATTCTCCGATTCTTCAATTCTTGTACTCTTGCACAGCCCTTGCAAACATCTATCTATATTATATAAAATTATATATAATAATAATATAATAAAAATTACAATACAATATATAATTTCCAATTCATAATGATTGGGGTTATATGTTGACAAATATGTGAACGTAAAATAATAAAATTAAAGACATTAAAATAAAAAAGCGTTCATTGGACTTTTGAATTATACATTGAGAATAATATCATAAAATATATCGGGTTTTTATTATTTAATTTTTTAAAACATAATATTTATGTCACATATACCATTAAAATCGTCAGTAAAACTCAATTTTATCACTCCAAAGAACATTAAGCTGCTATTTATTTCTGATTTACATTGTAAGTTAGTCAGTTATTTTAACAATATTTTTTCTTCTATAAAACTATAAATAATATTTTCCTGATTATCTCAATTAAATTTTGKAAAATGTATCTTTTACTTTTCATAGAGAATGTACCATGTACCTATACCGTAAATTATACTCAAAAACATTGCCGTCCTAACTTACTTACACYGTCCATCGTTATTAAATGAAAATTTTCCAACATGTGTTTGTGTATTAGGTACATTTTTTTTCATACTTTGTGAATTTTAAATTTATCTTTGAATTTTTTAAGACCAACCAATGCCTTAATTGTCAATAAATTGTATTGTAATTTTTTTTGAAAAAAATAAACTGTTTCAAATGACTGGAATCATTATAATTTATAAATTAAAATCTTATAATCTTAACATTACATATATTTAACACACATATCATAAGTAACGTTAGAAACACTTAAAAATATTTCAATCAAATAAATGTTATAAATGTTAATTAAAATTAACTATATATATTYATTATATATAATTATATAGCATGCAACTAATGATCAAATAATTTATCTCATTCGAATAAGAATGACGGTCGTCAATAATCAAAATTCATAAGTCATTTACAATATAATATGTCAATGTGGAGCCTGCAGTGATAAATGTCTTCAGTTTCGAATGACTTATAGATAGTTGTAAGTGCTTTAAAAGTGTTTTATATCGTTTTTATTACGACCATCARATCCTAAATGCATGTTAAGCCGTAAACAAATATTTTATATGTCATTTAAAAATGATTACACGTCAATAGAAGATATCTAATGTCCTATAAAAAAGTTAAAACCAATATAAATTGTCATTAAATTAAAAAATCCAATATCTAAATGTCAGTACTCAGTAGTAGATAATAACAACATATGCATAAACGGATACGAAATCTGGAGAAGAAATTAAAATAAATTTAACGAACTATAATATATACTATTGAATTCTCTTTTCGTAGATTAACATCAAAGTAATAATAAATAAAAGACGACACATTTAAAATCTAAACGTCTTAAGAGTTGCGTTCTGTACGTCAAGACTGGAATTAAACTGTTGTTGGAGAGCGTTATATTGTGTACCGAACACTAAATTTAGGTCATAAGTGGCGATAACGCTATATTGCAGTGTATAACGACATAAATCATGCAACAGTATTATTAATGYTGAAGGTACTTAAGTTATAACAAGATAATTTGATTCAATATTGTAGGAAAAAAAAATTAAAGGGCTACCCGCAGATGACGAAAGAGAACGATAAAAATTGGACACGTGGTTATTTGTATCCAATAGGTGTATAACAGTATATAATTTTTATCTGCGGCCGCCAGAGCATAATAAAATAATATATTTTAATTCACCACGTCGGGTAATTATAATATTGTTGTCGGGGCAAACTATAAAAGTAATTATTTAATTAAAGAAAAAAAAATAGATTAAAGCGACATCGTTAAATATTGTGTGCGTCAACTGCGCGGTGTGGAAATAATAATATTATAATCAACGGCGGCGGCGGCGGACGGACGACACATGCGATGAGATAAGCCCCGCCGAAACTATAATCGGACAACAATTATTTACTTATCGACCGATTAAACGGTAAAGGCCGCCCGGGACCAGTGGCTTAAATAGCCGCTGACCGTACGTACCGGCAATAGTCGATCGCATCTGTCAAGACATGAGAAGTCCACAGCGACCACAGAGACGCGATGAAGACGAAGACGACGACCTGCAAGATTGAAGACGACTCCACGGCGACGATATATTTTGCAAGACCTCAGACGACCACGACCACGGCGGCGGTGAGTACTTTTGAACAATATTTTTTTTCCAACGCTCGAACAAAAAAATCAAATCTTTTTTCCTTTGCCCGACCGAAATCGTTTYCATAATATTATAATAAAAAATAAACGTACTCGGTGCCGCCGCCGAGAGCTACATGTGYGAAAATATGTGTGAGGAATAAAATAAAAAGGATACAATGTATTTACAAATATTATTTARTTTTTCGTGTACGATACCGGTATGTGCATATACGTATAATCGTGTTATTGCTTTTTAGTTTGTTTTACGGGCGAATCGTGTATGCGTACATAGTACATATTATAATACACACATTAATATAACATAATATTAAACCGACTTTAACGCGAGCACGTCGTATTGGCCCGTGAAACGTTTGATCGAATGCGTTCCCATTGTACGCCTCACCTCGCAGTTTATAATAATATAATACATATATAGTATCATCAAATTATAATGGTTGAACAATATTTTTATTTTCTCCGTTTTTGAATCCAAAGGCTTAACCACTGTCTGACCTAATGTCGGTAAAAACTAATTTTGTATTCATATTTTATTTTCATATTGATCATTAAATGACTAGTATGACTAGACTATATGACTAGTCCTAATTCCTAATACTATTTTCTATTTTCACTTACGTTTGTGTCATAATCTGCATTGTCCGCTGAGTGATGCATATAATGATATGCCGTCATTTTAATTATTAGACTCTGCAGAATATTTTTATTTTTATTTTTTATTTAGCCAGTTTATTTTTCAAGTGATCCACAATAAATTCGTGTTTTTTCGATTACAATATCATTAGACACCAGATAAGTTAATCGCCGTCAATTCAAATATATTTATTTCGACAATATTATGATTTGTGCTACAATTGCTCGAAACCGATTTTCTCAGTCGTTATGAATTAAAAATATTATTATATCTTGATGATGCTAATTTATAGAATGTTAATCGACCTCGGCTTCAGCTGCGCATTTATAACGCACAATATAACTATCACCAACAGATTCGTATTATTAATGTAGACCATAACTGTAATTGTATATTTCTATTTAGTCTGTCTACTATTTACACATTATATGTTAATATACATATTATTACATATTTAGATATTTAACATGCGTTTTTTCAATATCGGTCGAAAAACGAAATTATTTTGTGTGCTTATAAGTAATCTATATTTGATATACTCTATCTATATTACATATTTACATGTATAATTCTGTAAAATAAAGATAAAAATATAATAAAGTAAAATAATCATTAATCAAACACTTTAACATTAATTTCGAAAAAATCGCAAATATGTTAGCTTTCCTAAGAAAAATCGACCTATACAATACAATTTAAACCTTCTGCTAAAGATAAACATAATATTAATTTTAGTGGAAATCAGACATAATTAACGCCACATTAATTGTATAATTTTGTTCTAGAAATCATTCAATATGTATTAAACAAAAAACTAATAACCTTTGCTGTTGATRTTTTTAAGTTCAATTAAAAAAAAAAAAAAACATTAATCTCATGGTATAGTAATAAAATAGTAAATGTTTTAATTTAAATTGAATTCGAGTCTTTGAAAACTCATATATATATATATATATATATATATTATAATTATAATTTTTTAAATATAAAGATAATATAAGTACAGTCCGTAGTATTGTTATGATTGTGATAAACTAAACACACTTAACTTATACAAATACATACTTACATATTATAATATTATACTTAACTTTTATAATTTTACCAAATCTTGTCACATTAAAAATATATTTAAATAGATTCTTACACGTTAATAAAACATTACATAAGCTTAATTATTATTAATAATATGATGCGTTTGTGTCAGTTTTTCACTTCTGTTGCAATACATGGTTATAGACCAATAATATTATAATAATTGCAATCATTGTATTGATAAGATTTATTTTTTGTAAWTAATATAATTACGTTTCAACATAATTGTGTGGTTATAGATAAATGAAAACAAAAAAACAGCCAATGCGTACCTTAAATTATTTTTTCGCGTCCCATCCCGACATATGATAAAATCTTAACCAATGATTGCATACTAACTAGTTATTGTCATCTGATAACCACGACTGCTGTCCGGATATGCATTAAAAATATTATATCATATATTCATATATATATTATATCATATCCATTCCCTTGCCCCTATATCGTTTTAACCCTATACACGCACATTATACACAACTACGACGAGCTCTTTCGCCATCAAAACGTCCGAGTACCACACATGTACTTAATATATATAAATCATATTATATTTTATAAATTTAACACGTATATATWACACTGTGCGAGGGCGCGGAATCCATTACAGCTCTCTCTGCGGCGGTGACCCTCTCCATTATAATATATACGATTCCATCGCGCACGCCATTACTGCTGTGTATATATATATATATATGTATGTGACATCAGCTACTCCCCGCCATCACCTCCACCACCGCCGCTGCCTTCACCTCCGCCACCGCCGCTGACGATGCGAAACCGCTTCCCGTTCGATAATTTAACAACCCTCTGCAAGCCATGATTCTCCTCCACACAATACGCAAAGAGTATGCGCATATAATAATAATGTATAGAGTAGGCGAACTGCAGGCTGCAGCGGCGTGTGTGTTCGAGCGTACGTAGCGGAGGGTCGACGACCAAAAAAAAAAAAGAGCCGGGGGTTTGTTTTTTTATTTCGTTTCGCCTCTTATTTCCCGTTCCCCGTTTTCGATATCCCAATATATAAGCCAGCCCCCGCAAAAACCCCTCACAGTACCGCACCGGAGCCCGAAGTATTTGCACACTGCGGCGGACTTCCGTCGTCCGTCGCGAGCGCCGCAGCCGAAGATCGCGATTTATCTTCGTTTGTTTGTTTGTTTTTTTTTTATCGTCTTCGTCTCGTCCTTGTGTTTACACAACGGAAATCCTGCCAACGACGATTTGTAGGTATATAGGTGTCGCGACGACCCTTTGTCGTCGTCGAATCCCGTACGTACGTTATCACTGCATGTTGTTTACTCACCGCCCATTAGACATGCACGTTTACCTATATTATATTGTTGTTATTATTAATATTATTATTGTATTTATAATCGTACCCACTCGGCTACAGTATCACGCAATACCGTATAATATTATTGCGAAACGCATTAGACATCGCGTTACATTATTATAAATGATATATTATTATTATTGTTATCACATAGGTAATATTTGTCGTTGTATTGTACCGTGTTTGTTTTTTCCCTCCACAGGTATTCATATGAAATCGCTGCCTGCAGATGTATAGCAGCAACGGCCATTATATTATAATATTGTGTACACGCGTAATGCGTGTGCGACGAGACCCGCGGGATTTACCTACGTCTGGAGAATTCGAATCAACGGATTATGCCCTCGATGTACACACACGAACAAACGTCGCGTACTGCATAAAATATTATTTCAACACAATATAACTGCGTAATGGTGCAGRGATACTGCATCGCGGGAGTGAAGAGGAAATGAAAAACAATAATAAAGGTGACGATTTTTCCATGCCTATATCATAGTATTATAATAATTTTAACACGTATACGCATAATATATTGTAGTTTGTATTATAACGTGGCGAGCGCGTGTGTTTCCCAGCTAAGTCGGATAATAATATAATATTATACCTCCACCCCCACCGTCGTGAAACTATAGCTTTTTTTTTCTTTCTGAACAGCACTGTTCGGCTCATACGCGTGTATGTTTATTAGGCTTATTGTTTTCCGTACGGTGTTTTCCTATCGTTGCGTGCTCTCGTGGAAGCCACGCACGTTACCAGGTCACGGTTACGCGACCATGTACCGCGTTTATAATACACCATATTATACGCTGCAACGTTGCACATTATTTATGGGCCGTATAGCCTACCCGTCCTAATACCCGCGACTTCGATAGATAATATTAATGTATCATATAGACGAATATTGCAATAAACGTCTGATTGAGTATAATATGCATAGGTACACCTGCAGTGTTTGCAAGCTCGAGGTGCAGGTTTGTACGTGAATGTGAATCGAATAATATTATCGCTCGCGAATTTCGAGTCGACGAAAAACATAAAAGCGTCGTACGATATTAAATATCATATACGATGGCTTGAAAAAGGGCTTTTTTTTTTACAGTCGTTTCGAGACGCATCGAGAATTTCCAGTTACCCTGCAGAGTACCTATATAGGATTGCTGCGGCGAATGACGCGTCTTCTTGATGCGCAGCCTTTCGGGTCGCGTGCGCGTAAAAGTTTTATCGCT